ACTTTCTCTGAAGTCCACAACATAAATTTAATACTGAAAGAGGACATCCTGAGCTCTTTATTTTGTCTAACTTTCCACATAATTTCATTAAAATGTATAAGTAAAAATTATCAGTTATAACACTACCACTCAAAGGAAAGTTTCTCTTTTGAACAGGAAAGAGTAAGTTCAAAGATTAGAGTCAAAGTGTTTTTCATTAAAAGTCAACTAATTGCGTCCATGTTGATTTAAAATTTTTAATTCACAACAGAATTGCTTCCAATAAGCATCCTTAATAAATTTTACAAGGAAACACCTACAACTTCAGTTCAACGTAATGACAGGGAAGGGATACGGACAAAATATGTTGAGGTAGAAAAATAAAACAGATTTCTTCCCTCTCCAACCACTTAGATAAAAACTCATTTCCATCCTAAGTGGACAATGATTAACAGCAGAGAATTGGCATTCGTTCTTCCTCTCCCTCTACCCCCACCCACCCTCCAAACATCCCCACAGACCCTCTCCCTTGATTTTGGCCCTTTTTATACCACTTTGTAGTTCTTTAACTGTTTTGATGCCTGGAATCAATTCCTGGGACTGATAATTCCTTGAGAGTATCAAAAGTTGTTTGTCAGAATACTCTGCTATTCAGTGTTTAATGATCTGTTCTACCCCTGATTGACTGAAGCATTTGAGAGATGGCTAGTGCTTGCATTATGTATGTGTATACAAGTATATACACACACACTCAGAGAATTATATTTTATCATTCCCTAATATATATATATATATATATATATATATATATATATATATATATATATATATATATATATATATATATATATATATATAGTATATGTGTGTGTGATTATATATATACACACTCGGAATAAAGAAGGTAGGTATACATGCGAACATTTATATAATTGTTGAATAAAAGCTTGTCTTTGAAGCGCTCAAACATGGCCTTCATGTTTGAGTGCAGTCCCTTGCACTGTGTGTAACAGCTGCAATACAACAGCTACTTCATTTGAACGCGACTTCTTACCAAAGAAACAAATCCCTCCAACTTTATTTAAAGCCAGGGACCATGTCTGCTACTTTTTTGGTACCTCGTTTCACAGCCTCCAGCATGACATCTAGTAGAAACTTAATCGATGCATAATACATAAACAGGAATAAATGCTCTCCGAAAAAAATCAGTGAAATGATCAATATACTGACTATACATGAAAAGGTCTAGATTGAAGAGATCGAGGTAGTAACAAAAGGAAAGGCACAGAGAGAATTAAAGTGGCAAAAAGAACTAACATTATTTCAGAGAATCAGATATGACTCAAAGAGCTTAACAGCATCTTTAACTCATGCATCAGAGACAAAAGAGCTTACGACTGTTTCAGAATGTTCTCATCAGATTCATACATTTACTAATGACTTACGCAAATGACTACTTTTAGTATTAGGGAGTATAGTATTGACCTGGGGGTAGTGTTATCATGTACTATACTGTTATTTAAGATCCTTTATATTAATCCGCCAAAAGGAAATTAAGCATTGAAAAGAATTCATTAATCAGAGTAATCAACATGAATACTAAAATCCCCAAGTAGGTGTCATATGGTTTGTCTCACATGAGTAATTTAGGGATGCACAAACTGTCATGTATATATATATATATATATATATATATATATATCTAAGCAAATGTAATAACCATTTAATTTTCAAGTCCAACAGTGCCACTATAGTTCTGAAAAGCATAGATACCAGTCCAGTCTGTTATCTAGTTGCTAGTAAAATTCAACACAAAATATGTGTCATAAGAAAACACGCAAAAGTACACCAACAACTATGTTTCTTACTTCTCTCTTCTGATGTTTAGAAAAATTGCACATTGATTTACGCCAAAAGTGGTACAGGAGTGAAATTATTCCTTCAGGCTTAGAGGATTCGGTGCCAGGTTTCATTTCTGGCTGCCTATTTTTGACCAAGTTCAAGAGCCCAGAAAAGAAATACATAAAAGAGAGCATATCCCTTTAACCTCTCAGGAGAGCAACATTCCTGGAGGCTGCTATGGGGAGCGAAGGGCTACTGCCTTGAGATGGGTGTGCTCCTGGCGCTTGGTTTCCACTGAGAGGATGCCGGCTCTCTCCGTGAATGTGAAGTAGCTACTATGATGAGGTAATGGCTATGCCAGTTTCACTGGGTCATGCTCTCTCAGCACATTCTTTCTCCTTCTCCTCCCTGAGAAGGTGCTGTAAACAAGTCATCGAGAGAGAGAGAGAGAGAGAGAGAGAGAGAGAGAGAGAGAGAGAGAGAGGCTA